GGGGAGAGGCAGAATGATGTAGGAGGGGTAACTGGCCTTATGAGTAGAAGGAAGGTTTATTCTAGGTTTAATGGAAAGCTACAGGAAAGTTTTAACTGGTTTGGGGTAACCTGAAGTATTAAATAGCTGCGAACTTAAAGAGGAACAAACTTAAGGATGTAAGACTGGATATGTATTTTTGAAACTTCAATGCAAAGCACTACATATTTAATTATATTTCTGCCACCTATTTAAACTATCATGTTGAGCTGAGGGGTGCAGCTCGGTGGCTTGTTGAGAACTCACAAGGCCCAGGTTATATCAATAACAATGCAAAACACAATAGCAGCAAAAAACCCACTCACAACTAAATTAAAATTTATTTCAAATATTAAAATTCCATGTACCTTTAAATACTATACTTTTTTTTAGGGTATCTGTACCATTGTTCCGGCTTTTCCTCTGCCTGAAGCACCATTCTTCATCTATTTCTAGCTACTACTCATTCTCCAAGGCTACTTCCTCTGGGTGCTCACACTCTGCTGGAACATGATCTGATAGAAAATATTTTTATCTTTCCCTCCCTCTCCCCCCTTGCTCTCCCCTCCCGCCCAGTAGTTGGGTCTATATGCTTGCTTGGAAAGCACTTTACTCGGATCACATTTTCAACATTTTTTGTTTTCTTTAGTTTTCTGATATGGTCTTGTACCTTTGCATGGAACCAACCTCTAAACAAGATCTTTCTACCTATGCCTTAGGTATTGCCAACATTACAGACATATATATACCTCACACCTATAGGTTGAGATGGGTGTTTCAGTAACTTTTTGCTCAGGCTGGCCTAGAACTACAATCCTCCTGATTTCTACCTCCTGAAGTAGCAGGGATTAGAGACGTGTGCCAGAGTGCCCAGCACTTGCCATCAGTTTTACTATAGTGTATTGACATTTTCTATTTGTGCATCTTTTGTGTTTTTCTATTCTTTTTTGTTGAGTAGATTATAAATTTTTCAAGGGCAGGGTGAAAATGTATTCAATCTTGTTTTTTTTTTTTAATCTAGCACATCCCTGGCTAATCTCAATCAGTTTGAGCTCAACTGAATCTACTTCTGAACTATGTTGCAAAATCCTGAATACAAGTCCTTGAAGGACTGATAAACCACCTACTGCAGCTTTAGTTTCTTTTTTTTCCAGCCTGAAAAGTTTGTTTAATGTTTACTTTTTTTATTGTGAAAATACTGTACAGATAATGAATACAGTTCTTATCAAGCATTGTTGCCTCCTCTCCTTCCTATCTCCCACCCCCCCCAGCTTTAGTTTAACAGCATGAGAACTACACATCAGATTCTTTATCAGATCTTCTTAGTCCGTACAACTCCTCATTCTTCTTGAACTGTTTTTATCTCACTTCCAAACTTGTGTTTTATCTTCATTTTTGTTGGTAATTCAGTCTAAGCATACCCAAAGTAATTTAAGCACACATCAGCTCAAATTACTAAGCCCTCTTATTACTCTACTTTCTTTTTAAATTTGAAAGTAGCACACACTCATAGTACAAAAGAAAGCTGTTTATGAAGACTATAATAAAGGGGAAGCCTTTCTCCTAGTACTGGCTCTCAGCCGTCCAGACTTTCTCTCTTCCTCTCATTCTCTCTTCCTCTTTTCCTTCTTTCCTTCCTTTAGGGTACTTGGCTGTCACTATAGGTGTCCACTGCAGGTAATTTTTTTTTTTTAAGTTAGGGGGAGGATTGGTTTGGTGGTAGAGGGTTTTGATGTCAGGTCCTTGAGTTTGGTAGGCAAGTGTTCTTGAGTTATACCTCCAGCTCCTTGTGTTTTTGAGTATAGTCACTATTACCAGGTTCTGGGATATCCTTCTAGAGGAAACCTATGCTATTGTGGGTTTTGTTGTTGTTTTGGGTTTTTGGTTTTTTTTTAGTCAGTCGTGGGACTTGAACTCTGTGCTTGGGCGCTGTCCCTCAGCTCTTCAAGTCAAGGTTAGCGCTCTACCACTTGAGCCAAGTGCCACTTCCAGTTTTCTGGTGGTTTATAGAAGAGTCTCACAGGTCTTCCTGCCCGGGCTATCTTTGAACCATGATCCTCAGATCTCAGACTCCTGAGTAGCTAGGATTACAGGCATGAACCACCAGCACCTAGTGCTAATGTATTTAAAAATCCTAGGGCTGGGAAGGTGGCTCAGTGGTAGAGCGCCTGCCTTGCATGCTCAAGGCCCTGGGTTCGATTCTTCAGCACCACATAAGCAAAAAGAAAAAAGCCGGAAGTGGTGCTGTGGCTCAAGTGGTAGAGTGCTAGCCTTGAGCTGAAGAGCTGAGAGACAGTGCCCAGGCCCAGAGTTCAGGCCCCACGACCGGACCCAAAAAAAAAAATCCTAGCATTACTTAGATTACTTGACAGTTCAGCTTTTCCCTTAACAGAATATATTGGAGATTATGATCATTCTATATTGGAAGTATTTCCCTTTAGTTCACCTTTTTGCTGTTCTGGAGATTGAAACCAGGGTCTTGTGTATGTAACGTGTGTGCTTTACCACTGAGCTATATCTCTAACCCTATCAGTACAAATGTGTGTGTGTGTGCTGGTACCAAGGCTTGAACTCAGAGCTTTGAGCTTTTGGCTTTTTCCACTTATAGCTGGCATTCTACCACTTTAGCTAAACCTCGAGTCCAGCTTTTTTGCTGAGTACTAGGATTCCAGGCATGCATCACTAGGCTTGGCTAATACTTGTATTTTCAACACAGCTTCCCAGGCCCAGTCAGGGCATAAAGTCACTTCCCTTATTCCCTGTGTAACAATGACATTGGTTTTTCAGTTCCTCCACTGAATCATGCTCTTTCCTTCCTCAATGTCTGTGTGTACACATTCCGTCTCCCTGGGATGCTTCTTTCTCCATCCTCTCTTCATCTTCTCATTGTTTAGATCTCATCTCAATGTCACATCCTCAGAGAATGCCTTCCTGCTTTCCATTCTAGGTCAAAGAACACTGTGAATTTCCTTCATATTGCTTATCCCAATTGAGAGTGTGTGATTAGGGGTTTATTGTTTGTCTCCTGTTGGACTCTATGCTCTATGAGGGTAGAGACACTTTGTCTTGTTTGCACTGTATCCCCAACACAGAGCACAGGACTTGACCTGAAAAGCGGTGGGCTTGATGCATTTTCTCTCTTCTATTACTTTTTATTGTCAGTTGTGGGGTTTGAACTCAGGGCCTAGATGCTGTCCCTGAGCTCTTCTCAAGGCTAGCAGAGTGCTTGAGCCTCAGCACCACTTTGGGCTTCTTCTAAGATTAATTGGAGATAAGAGTCTCTCAAACTTTGCTGCCCAGTCTGGCTTTGAACTGCAATCCTATATGACTCCAGCCTCCTGAGTAGCTAGGATTACAGGCGTGAGCCACTGGTGCCTGGCTCTTCCTCTTTACTTTTATTGATGTCTACCAAGAAGGGATATTCAAAAGACACAATAAATTGTAGGTAGTGATGGGGGGGGGGAAACAGGGAGAATGGGAGAGAAGGGGTGGAATTGTTTTGAAAGAAATGTACTCTTTACCTGATTTATATAACTGTAGCCCTTCTGTACATCACCTTTATAATAACAATTAAAATATATAATAAGATATCAAACTAAACCTGCAAAAAAGACTCAAAGATCAGGGCCCTCTGCTACTAAGGAATTACTTCTCATGAAAAATAATAACCCTAAACTAAACATCAGTTTATCTTCTCTGAAGACTCAGCGTTCTCTCAAGACCTCTATCTTCTTTTCTGCTGGCACAGTCTGTTCTCTAGCAGAAGGTAGGGAACAAGCCCCTAAGATAGTTTTCCCCACTCCTTTAAATCTTATGAAAGAGCTGCCAATTCTAGAAATTCCTCCTTTGATCAGAAGATAAAGCAGAACAATGCGGTGGAACTAAATGGATTCCTAAGGGACATTTTTCTAGGGTGTGTAAAGCTTGCCTGGAAGTGCAGTGTACGGATGGGGGTGGGGTTGGTGGAAAGCTAGGAGCTGGGAGGGAGCCACGGACTGCTCCTAGACTTCGGCACCGAACAGCAGCCTGTTGTTGCTATTTGTTCTTTTCCGATAGGATCTCCGGAACTTCTGAGTGTCAATCGTTATCCTGCTTCAGCCTCTTGAGTAGCTCGAACTACAATTTCCAGAGAGATGTAGGCATGTATAAGAAAAAAATTAGAGGATTTCCTCCCTAAAAAACAAAACAAAGAATAACTTTCTGATCTGTTTCACAGGGTTACGTAACTTAAATAAAAACGATCAGTTGAGAGCCAAGCGCTTCACAAGCATAATTGTATTCAATGCTCTTAGGGAAGGTACTATTATTCTGGAGATCGGGTGCGAAGACACTTTGTAATGCCGCGAGAAGCGTCTGGGTAAGCCCGGTTATTATCAGGCTCTCTTCCTTACCCCGCCGAAGTGGGAATTAAATGAGACCCCAAGCTGAAGGCGCTGTTACATACCATCCAGCACTTTACAGAGCCCACGTGACGGGTTACTAATTACACACCCCACAGCACCTGATCCTCGGTGGAGACTCGGGAGGTGCCGGCTGATGAGAACTATTCGGTCCAGTCCGTTCCTTGCTGTCTTCCAATCTAAACTGATCTCCGCGCGGCCTGCGGCCAAGACCACAAATCCGGGAGGCGCAGCTCCGTGGAGGCCGGGTGCAGAGTCCCGAGAGACGTCGCCAGAACAATAGGTTATTTCAGGGCCCAGGTTTGGTGGATGGGACTCTGGGCGCAGGATCTGGGAAGTGGCAGGTGGGAAATCCCGGGGGTGGGGTGGGTGGGGGGGGAGTTCCGTCTTCTGGCCAGAGGTACACTGAGAAGTCCTATATCCAACTTGGGCTCCGGGGCAGGAGCCGGACTCTGGCCACCAACGCAGCGCTGGTCTCACGAGACGCGCCTTGGCCCCACCCACCACCTCAGGTAGGTCGTCGGCACCAGCCAATCCGCAGGACTCCTGGGCGCGGAAGGCGGTGCTTGCCCGTCCGGAAGTGACGTGCGGTGCTTGGCTGGCCGCGGAGTCCGCCGAAGCTTTCTGCGGCCGGCTGAGCCAGCTGAGGGGGGAAATGGCTCGGACCCTAGCGGCTGCGACCGCTCGGGTTGCAGTGGACACAGAGACCCTGGAGGCGTGAGGTGAGAAGCTGGCGGCGAGTCTGGGCCGGTTCTCGGCACCTTGCTCTTGCGGGGAATGCCGCGAGGCTCCGGGATGGGAGGGTCCTTTGCCGGGGCCCCCAGGTCGGTGCTGCCCGCCTCTGCCGCCTTGTCCGGTTCCCGTACCTCGCTCCAGGCCTAGCTTCCACCCCAGCACTCGGCCCGGCGCCCCGCGGAAGGAGTGCGGGGCCTGCACCCCCGCCAGGCCCCTCTCGGTGAGGGCGGGGGTGCGCCCGGCAGTTAGTTTTATCCCCCAAAGGGGGAGGGGAGTCCCTCGGGACCAGAGCTGGAGCCACAGTGGCTGGTTCTGTTCTCTTGTCAAATTGTTTTGGTGAGCTTTGTGTTGAAGTTTTCCATCTCCTGTCCCAGCTCGGTCTTTAGAGGCTAGTGATTCTTTTTCTTCTTTCAGGACCACCCCTTTTCTCCCCATCTTTGCTTTTTAACCAGGAATACACTTGGCTTTGGAAAAGGCACTATTGTGGGTATTCAGCGCATCTTCTTTCTGGGTAGGCAGTACACTAAAAATGTTTGCTTAACACTTCCCGAGTGCCAGAGTGACAAGAAGTAACTGAAGTTAAAAAGAAAAAAAAAACTAAAACACATACTTATTTTCCTCTCTAAATTGTTTGGCTTTAAAAACGAGATTGTTCAGCTGTGGATTTCCTTTTTTTTTCTGGAAGAGAATGGATTGAAGAGGGATAGAAGGAAGGAGAAATTGAGGAAATCTTGAAGACTTAAAGAACAGAAACTCACATAAAACCGCCTGGAGTAATTCTGTTCCTGTATCTCTGATAGAAATTTTATCTTTTAATTGAATTTTTATTTTAAACAGTGAGTGGTTGAAGTGAATGAAACCAAGGAAGCTTGGCTCTTTGCACAAGGTTACTTATTAAGCGATTATCCAAGAAAAACTTTTTGGGCATCAGTCAGAAAAAACTGTTGGGAAAATGTTTGAATATATTGGCACATGAAATGCCACAAGAAATAAAAGGTTATTCTTACAGAATGATGAAGACAGAGTATAAGGGAGTGAGGGGAATGGGCAAAGCTACACAGAGGTCCAGGAACACTGATTCCAGGAAAGACTTCCTACTTTTGCCTCCTTGTCTTACAGTTCAGTCTCCATGAAACTTCTTTAGCAGCTGTACCATAGTTGGAATTGATGCAGCTCTTCCATAGTTGGAGTTGGTGCTGTTACTCAGTGTTGGAAATTAGATGGAAGTGCCTTTGTTGCAATTACAAACTTTTGAGGATTATCTGCTTGTTTAACATTCATGCATAATATTCATAACAGTGTGTGAGTAATGAAAAAGCATTATAACTGATTGAGACTATATATATATACTTGTTGACTGAAACAGTGATTTTACATAGGTACAAAACACATATAGAGCTACCACAAATCCCATAAATTTTGGCTAAACTAAGATTCTAATTTTTTAAAAACAATTTTTGGTGCCAGTCTTGGGGCTTGAACTCGGGGCCTGGCCACTGTCCCTGAGCTTCCCCCAACCAACCTCCCCTCCCCTCCCCCCAAGGCTAGTACTCTATCACTTGAGCCACAGCTCCACTTCTGGTAGTAAATTGGAGATAGGAGTCTCATGGACTTTACTGCCCAGGCTGGCTTTGAACTCAGCCTCCTTTGTAGCTGCTATTACAGATATGAGCCACCGATAATAGGCCTAATTTTTTTTTCTTTTTAAAATCTGTTGTTCTTGGCCATAGTGGTACACACCTGTAATTCCAACACTCTGGAGGCTTTGAGGCAGAAGAAGCAAGTTCAAGGATAGTCGGGACTATTTAGAGAAACCTTTGCAAAAAAGATAGGAAGGAAAGAAAGAAAGGAAGGAGGTCTGATCAAAGGTTTCATATTTCTTTTGTATGCATGTTGTTTGCTTGCAGTTTAACTTGCCTGCAGACAAGTATTTTAGTGTTTTTTGTTTGTTTTTGTCACTTGAGGGGGAGGGCACCTGAACTCTGGGCCTGGGCGCTGTCCCTCAGCTCTTCAGTTCAAGGCTAGCACTCTACCACTTGAACCACAGCACCACTTCCGGTTTTTTCTGCTTATGTGGTGCTGAAGAATAGACCCCAGGACCTCATGCATGCAAGGCAGTTTTAGTGTTTTTATACATAGGTTTCATAATTTTTTCAATTTTATAAATTTTATAGACGTTTATGTGTTTGCTTTAGTAATTTTAGAAACTGCTTTAACTGTCTGTAATTATATATTAAGTATATGATTCTTTGTTCTGCTATTAATAGTTCTAAAGTTTGAAGATTGATGAATCCAATTCCAGGAATTTTTAACCTAGCACACTGTTTTTTTTTTTGGTCGGTCATGGGGCCTGTTTGGGCCTGGGCACTATCCTTCAGCTCTTCAGCTCAAGGCTAGTGCTCTACCATTTAAGCCACAGCTTTTTCTGCTTATGTAGTGCTGAGGAATTGAATCCAGGGCTTCAAGCATGTGAGGCAATCTTTCTACCACTGAGCCACCTTCCCAGCCCTAGCAAACTGTTTTGTAGATGGTAAATAGGCAGATTCAGTAATGCTTTGAGAGCTGGGGGTGTAGCTCAGTGCTTTGCCTAGCAATTGGTAAGGCTCTAGGTTAGATAATGTGCTTAAAAGAAAAATCTTTATAATTTTTGTCTTGATTCAATAACACAAACTATCCATTTTGTTACCTTATCATATTCCAAAAAAAAAGACCAAGGCCGATAAAAAGATGGTGAATGTTTTAGTGTGGTACATTCACATTGTTGGTGATTTGACTTCATAGCCATAACTGAGGCTAAAAATTAAACTTCTGAATTCCCAAGGGTCAGTAAGGATGCTTGGTCCTGCGTGTGTTTCCAGGGAAAAAAATGAATAAGATGGTGTTTACCCTCAAAAATGTTTTTCTACTGTACCTAGAAAGACAAATGTACAGATTAGAGAAGAATAGTTAAAAAGGGCAATGGTAGATCCAAAGTGTTAGAAAGAATGTGATCACCTGGGCTTAGAGATGAGTGGATCTGATGAGAAAGATGATACTCAAGTTGAGGCTTAGTGGGTGAATTCCTTATATTGATGAGGATAGGACAGTCAATGAGATAATTGAGCAAGCTGCTTAATGCCTGATCATTTGATAGTATTTATTTATATCTGAGCTTTTGACTGAGATCATGGTCTTTCTTGAAAATGCCATTATATCATATAGCTTGTTAAAAGATTATGGTTGAGACTGGAAGAAACTTTTGTTTTTGTTAATCCTATGGTGGAGTCAGTTTTTGTATCTTTATTTTGTACATTTACGTATCCTTTGTATCTTTCATATCTACAATCTTATTTTGAATGTGATGGATTCAAAAAACAGTAAGAGCTGGATGCCTGTTCAAAGCCAGCCCGGGCTCATTGGTTGAATGCCAGCCTTGAGCAACAAAGCTCAGGGACAGCACTGAGGCCCTGAGTTTAAGCCCCAGGACTGACAACAAACAGAATCATACCAAAAACCCTATAGTAAGAATATACACATAGACATTTTAGGCAATTAGACAATTTTAAACTATTTGTATTTTTTATTTTTGTTCTGGTACTAGAGCTTGAATTCAGGGTCTTGGCGCTGTCCCTGAACTTTTTCACTCAAGGCTGGTGTTCTACTGCTAGAGCAACAGCTCTACTTCCAGCTTTTTGGTGATCACTTGGAGGTGAGAGTGTCACAGAGATTCTTGTCCAGTCTGTCCTCAGATCTCAGTCTCCTGAGTAGCTAGGATTACAGGTGTAAGCCACCGGTGCCCAGCTCAAAAAGAAAATGAGAAGCTGGGTGCCAGTGGCTCACGCCTGTAATCAGGAGGCTGAGATCTGAGGATCACGGTTCAAAGCCAGCCCGGGCAGGAAAGTCCGTGAGACTCTTTATCTCCAATAAACCACTAGAAAACTGGAAGTGGTGCTGTGGCTCAAGTTGTAGAAAATTCGCCTTGAGCTGAAGAACGCAGGGACAGCGCCCAAGCCTAGAGTTCAAGCCCCACGACCCACAAAAGAAAGAAAGAAAGAAAGGAAATGAGATCCAAAGATATTGTGACTTGGCTAGTATAGTATGTCAGAGGAATTGCTTGGATTCAGGTCTTATAGTACTAGACCTAATATTTCACTTTATGTCAAATGTTTAGACATGTAACACATCAGGTTGCACAGTGAATACCCAAGGGTGCTTTGTAGTTTCCTTGGCTTTGACTCTGTGCTAGAGTAATATCTGTTCTTTTCCTCTGCATTCAAATGGGTATTTCACCTTTGAAATGTATTCAGAAAGTCAGGACATTTTGTTACCTTCATTTTATTAAAAACGATGAACAATCCAGAGTGTCCCTTCAAAAGCTTTGGTGAATTAGACTTAATTAAAGATGAAAGTTACTGCTGGTTGTAATTTGTGCATGTGTGTGTAGAAAAAAAACAACACATCAGGGTCTTGGAGAGAGTATTTAAAAATGAGCAAGTTTATATTCCACCTGGGAGAGACCAGCTATAATCTATATGGCAAAAAGTACTTTAGTGACAAAAGAAATTAGTATAGTCTTATTGAAAATAAATGAGTTAATTTGTGGATTTTTTTTTGTTTGTTTTGGTGCCGGTCCTTGGCTTGAACTTGGGGCTTGGGTGTTGTCCCTAAGCTTTTGTGCTCAAAGCTAGTGCTCTGTCACTTTGAGCCGTAGCTCCATTATCACCATTTTTGGGGTTAATTAATTGGAGATAAGAATCTCATGGACTTTCCTGCTCTGACTTTGAGCCATGATCCTCAGATCTCAGCCTCCTGATTAGCTAGAATTACAAGCATAAGCCACTGGTGCCCATCTGTGTGTGTGTGTGTGTGTGTGTGTGTGTGTGTGTGTGTTTTAAAGACTTGGCCTCCCTAAATAGCCCAAGGTGGCCTCCCAAGTGTGTACCACTATGCTCAGCAGCAAGATGTGTATGTGAGTATGTGTGCTGGTACTGAGAACTCAGGGCTTGAG